TCTGCCGCTGCCCCGTGCTCCGGGCTCCAAGTCCCCGTTCCGGGGTCTGAGCGGCGCCGGGGGGGCGGCGTGCGCGGCTCGGGAACGAGCGTGTCCTGTCCCAGCGGTGACGTGAGCCCCTATGAATACTCTTTGGCCCCTGCGGCTGAATGCTTGGCGTGCCGGAGAGGGAGCCGGAGCCCACGCTTCCCGCTGCTCGAATTCGAGCCGTAACTGACACGGCTTCTTGAGCTCATAACGCTGGCTCTGGGGACCAGAGCACGACTTCTGTTTCCTCCAAGAATTTTAATGCCGGTCTCATGTTTTCGTGAAAGTGTTGAGAACAGTCTTACGTTTTATCTGCAATCTCTCTGCCCCACCTCCCAGCAAATGACGGTGGGGGTGGCCTCTTACTGCTCTTTATTTTTAGACTCTGGTATTCAAATGTGAACTTGAGCGAAATTTTAAACCCAATGCCAACATCTAGTGCACAGACGTGGGGCCCGGCTCTCCAGGGGAAATTTATGGACCATGTAAACGTTCACCCATCTTCAAAGTAGATAAAATGTCACTGTTTCCTCCACGGAGTCAGTTTGGGGGTGCTTTGCATGGAGACTTTGGGGTGCAGAAGTGCCCCTTGGAAGCTTGTAGAAGTGGAGGCCCAAGGAGACCATCTCTGTCCTTGGGACTGGTCCAAAGAGAAACTAAAACCCTTCGCCCCTTAAACACTTGCTTGCAGCTGTTGGCAGCCTGAGTACAGGCTGGGGAGCACCTGTCTTGTGTGGCTCTGGGAGGGGGAGCGGGTCCCACAGGGACTTGGGGAGGCACGTGGGCCAAGGCTCAGGGCCTGCACAGCACCCCCGGGCAGGCGTGAAGGTGGGCCACGTGTCCTCCAAGTCCACAGGCCCTTCCCTCCACCCCGACTGGGCCTGGCGCCCGGGACCCGGGGCCCGCCTGCCCACAGCCCTCCGCTGTGTAGGCGCGTGTGTGTATGTGTAATCTGCACGTGGACCTCCGTGCCGGTATAGTTCATGTAATGGAAAACATTTACAAGAGAGAAACGCAAAGAGACAGATAAAAGTGCACGTGCCCGCAAGCTCTGGCTTTCCCCACACACCCCGCACCCTACCCTGGGGACAGTCACAGGAAATCAGTGTGTCTGAGGAGCTGCAGGGGCTGTGGCCTCCTCTACAGACCGAGGGCAGCTGTGGACGCGCCCGCGAGCTCACGTGCGGCCCCACAGGAGCTTCGCTCCCTGCTCCCCAGCCGGTCCCTGCCGCTAAGTACCAAGTGCTAATTGGCTTGCGAGCCGCCGGTGCTAACGTGTTAGGCAGCTGTGCCCTTAACGCAGGAGTCAAGTGGAGAGGGAGCCCAGGGTCCTTGGGGTGGAGCGGGGCCGGGGGCCGGGGCGCAGGGCTGGTCCCGTTCCGGCCCCTCGTCCCCTCGGCTCAGTCTGCTGCAGCCTCCCCTCCCGTCCCCTCACGTCCCCTGCGGCTGTCCCCAGCTCAGGAGCAATGACAGCTTAGGTTTGGCTCTCACACCGCTGCTGAGCCCTCATGACCAAGACGAGACTCTCCGGCCTTGGGAGACGGGTGTGGGAGGTGGAAACCAGGGCAGTGCCCGGGCCCCCGTTCTTCCCAGGGGTGAACCTGCACCCATCACCATCCTGGGACGACCCTCTGTGGGGGACCCAGACCTCGTGGTCACTTTATTTGGGGTGAGGGCATGAATTCCCCTCGGCAGGGACTCCCTGGTCTGTAGTTCACCCTCTCGGGGGCTGAGGCCTTCGGAGCTGCTGGTTGACAGATGAAACCAGGATTCTCCGTAGACAGAAAGATGGGCCGGGAGGGGACAGACTCCTGTTGAATGGCGGGAAGGGTTGTCGGCAGAGCCCGCGCATTCCCATCCTCAAAGCCGAAGCCGAGTCCAGCCGGAATCAGACCCATCCGTGTCTATGACTGACACTCGCCCCAAGGGCAGGGCTGACACGGGCCCAGACAGAGCTTTCATGAACAAAGAAGGGGTCTGGGTCGCGTGGCTGCTTCTGACGGGCGTTTGTCCAGGCGGGGCACTGACTTGTCCAGAGCAGCCCACAGCGGGCTCGGGGCCTCATCTTGCCTTGTCTCTCCAAGGGCCAGCTTCGATGACACCGCGACCTACTCAGCGGTGGCCACCAACGCGCACGGCCAGGTGTCCACGCACGCGGCGGTGGTGGTAAAACGTGAGTGCGGGGGGGCGGGGGTGGGGGGCGCCTCCGCGGCCTCTGCGGCTTCGTCCACTGCTGGCCCGTCCTCTTGCAGGCTTCCGAGGGGACGAGGAGCCGCTCCGTTCTGTGGGACTCCCGATCGGACGTGAGCTGATTTTTTTTTCTCTTTTCGGGCAGACAAATACATAGTGACATAGCAAATAATTAAAAAAATTGTGTTCTAAAGGCCAAGCCTTTCTTTTTCTTATCGAAAGTCTCTCCCAGGCCTTCCTGCCCGGCGTGACTGTGTCACATTCTCTCTGTCCAGTGCCCCTGTCGTCCGTGGTTCCATACACGCACTTCGACGTCCAGTTTTTGGAGAAATTTGGGGTCACGTTCAGAAGAGAAGGCGAGACTGTCACTCTCAAGTGCACGCTGCTGGTGACCCCGGACCTGAAGCGCGTGCGGCCGCGGGCCGAGTGGTACCGAGACGGTGAGCGTGAGGCTCCCCGCGGCGCTGGCCCTGGTCCGGGCTGCGACCTCGGCCGCGTTTGCGTGAACGAGGTTTAAACCGTCGGGCCGGTTCGGCGTCCCTGTCGACCGGGGTGTCAGGCGTCCACGGGGGGTCTTGGAACAGCCCCCTCGGATGGGGGGTGACTAGACGAGGCCGTGAGGGTGGATGGAGGGGAGGCAGGCGGCGGAGGAGGTTTGATTGACCCTCGTCTTTCTAACTGAAGACGTCCCCCGGGCCTGCCGGCGTTGGCCGCTGTCCCGTGTGGCAGCTGCTTTTTCACAGTGACCCCCGTTCCCGTGTGGGCCTTGGAGAGAAACGGCCTTCGGACCGGGAGAGGCGGGCGCCTCGCGCCTCCCCGTCGGGCCGGGTGCCTGCCCCTCGCAAGGCTGCGCGTCCGGGCTTCGCGGCGACCTCTGACCCTGCCCACCGCGCTCTTTCAGACGTGCTCCTCACGGAGTCCCAGTGGACGAAAATGTTCTTCGGGGAGGGCCAGGCCTCCTTGTCCTTCAGTCACCTGCACAAGGACGACGAGGGCCTCTACACCCTGAGGATCGTGTCCCGAGGCGGCGTCAGCGACCACAGCGCCTTCCTGTTCGTCCGAGGTGTGTGGGCCCCAGGCCCGTGTGGGGACAGGCGGCCTGACCTGCAGGCTGAGACGGGGGGCCGAGGGCATGAGGGTGGGGGCGACGGTGTGCTCACAGACTTCCTGGACGTGCGGTGGCCGTCCTCAGGGGCACACCAACCGTCCCGGCAGTGAGTCCACGGGATCCGCAGGCCCGCTGGGTGGGGCAGAACTGGGCTCCTGGCCCTCTGGTTACGGGGAGAGTCACGGGGCTTCACAGAGGCCCCCGCTCAGAGCGCCCAGCCCGGGCTCCGACTCTCCGCGGAATTCCCCGCACGGTGGAGGGGCTGCGAGAAGGCAGCCCACTTCGCGGGCCGCCTGGATGTCCCTGTCCCCTCTGCCCCCTCTCCGGGCTGCTCAGAAGGAAGAGGCAACGAGGCAGCGGCTGCTTCTGTCACCGTCCCTGTTCTGGTGTCCCACGTGTGTCTACGACACAGGTGACGGCAGCCGGGGCGCAGAGGCAGATGCACTGTCACCCGGACCCTCACCCAGCCCCGTCGATGCACTTAATGGGAAGGAAAACAAGACGCACGCTGGGCGAGCCTTTCGCAGACATGCATGTGCGTGTGCAGGCGTGTGAGCTGTGCACTCACGTGGGATGCACATAGCCTACGCGTGCAGGCACACGGGCGCGTGTGCGCGCATGCATCATGCATCTATCCCGCATTCACGTATTTTACATGTACGAAATGGATGAAGTTATGTATGTTATATGTAACGTATATGTGTGTAGATGAGTTTGCAGCATGCACGTCTGTAACCACACATTCTTCTCTCGGTTTGGTCCAAAAATGTCATCGTCTCTCTTTTGCAAACGAAGACGTGGAGGCTCAGGGGCAGGCATCCGGTGGGGGGGAGGCCGGGGCCCGGCAGCCCGTGCAAAGCCGCAGCCTGTGCTCGGGGGGCCACCCCTCTCAGGGTTGTCCCGGATCTGGCTGGCCCTCCCCTGTACATCC